GCGTTGAGGTAGTTGCCACTCGCCCACTCCTTCCTGAGCAAGATCAAGTCATTGTGGAGCGCAATGTGGTGCGTCCCAATCTCCTCAACCTTGCGTATGAGAGGATGATCCAGCACGCCACGCTCCTCCAGCCTAAGTTGCAGTAAACCATCAATCAGAGCAAAGCAAGGAGCCACACCAGATGTGATCTCTCTCAGCCAGAGGTACGTATCCAGGTTGGGAATGATTTGCTTGCGAAGCCAGCTCGATTCAATCTCAAACATGTCGAGCACCTTGGTCATAGCATCCACGAATCGGCCTGATTCATCCACTATATGGAGGGACAGTTCTTCCAAAACCTCAGCTAACATCTTCATTTGCCTCAGCAACTCCGGATTTTTCACTGGAAGTGTGGCCTCGTCAAATCTTCCCTTGAAAACCATCTTGTATGCGGTTGCCACATATCTTATGTCTGACGAGGAGATCTCCGGGCTATCCAGAATGTCATCTGCAAGAAAGAACCAAGCGATGAACTTTGCAACCGGAACAATCTTCTCGTATGGAATGGTCGGGTAAACATAAGCCGCGAGCAATCCAAGCCTGCTTTCTTGAACAAACACAGCTTTCTCGCTTCCAGGTTGCAACTTCAGAAACTCCGCGCACCACGCATTGATCTGAGCGTCGGCCTTTGCATCGTACAGCGGATTCAGCACTGGAGAGGCAAGAGTTTACACACTGGTGGAATGGAATAGCTTTTCTCCACTGCGAAAATGCTCGCAATGGATGCTTCCTAAGTGAATTTTAAACACTGAAAGAAGGCTGTTATAAATAAAATTAGAAGCAAATTCAAACTAAACAGTTGAATGGTTGTTGATTTCTGCTAACAACCCTAGGAAACATCCCACACAATATTCCGGATTTGTGATTACAAATCTCTTTTTACTGGCCTTTGTTACCCAGTAATTCGTCTGCGAGCGCGTTTGCCTCTTCATGCCTCCCTTCTCTCGCTAGCTCCTGGATCACCGCCTCGTAAGCCTCGGCATTTGGCCTGCCTTTCCTTGAGAGCGTCATCTCTTCCAAAACTTCCATGGCTTTGCTGAGCTCTTTCCCCTGGCACAGCCCCCTGATCAAGGCCACATAGATATCGTGGCGAGGAGGCGTGCCACTCTGCTTGATGGCCTCGAGAAGCTCCAGAGCTGCGCTCATTCTCCCGGTCCTACACAGCCCATCCATCATCACCCTGTATGCGAACATATCCGCCTTGCAGTTCTCGTCGCGCTCCAGTCTCTCGAGCATCTTGCGAGCCTCTTCCAGGTCCCCAGTCCCACAGAAGCCAGCTCCTGAACGTTCGGCTGGACGTCGTTGTTAATGCCAACCATCTCCTCCAGCAGCTTGTAAGCCACCGTCGGCTTCCCAGCTCTGCAGAACGCGTCAATGAGAGCAGTGTAAGTCACCACGTTGGGTTGGCATCCCCGCTTGGCCATTCGCTTGAGAACTCTGTGCGCCTCCACCATTCTTTTGACTTTGCAGAAGCTGTCGACCAGGCTTGTGTACGTATACACGTCCGGAGAGCAGTCACTGGCAATTATCTCTTCCAGAAGCCTCTCGGCGTCATCCACCAGTCCAGCATTACAGTATCCTTCCACTAGTGTCGAGAAAGTGACGATGTCAGGGAGGGCTGCCTGCTTGAGCATGTCGTTGAATAACGTGCGAGCCATGTCGATCTCATCCAGCTTACAAACCCGCCGATCAAGCAGCTGTATACGTGATAACATTCAGGTTGCAAAACTTGGCCTTCATTTCTCCAAACAGCCTGTTCACTTCTGGCGCTCTTCCCATCTTGCAAAGTCCGTCAATAAGTATGTTGTAGGTGATGATATCTGGAAGGCACCCTGTTGCTGTCATCTCTTTGGCTGAATGCCCCAGACTATCATTCTCATGATAATCTATGGAGGATGAAGCTAGGGTTGTGTTGTTTGCAAGTGGTTGTCGTTGGATTCATTGTGGTCACTAGAGCCAAAGTTCTAGCTGGAGTTCTAACACTTCACAATGTTGTGTATTAACTTTGCATTCCTCGCACCACCAATGATGCCACCAAGTTTCAGTCTGCATCTTAAGCAATTGTAGCTCTTTCATAAGCTTCTCTTGATATTAAGTCTACTGCTGCACTAGTGTTCAATGCTCCTTAAGCTCACTGAGTGCCAACTCAATGATATGTGCTAGCTTAGCAACAACACACATCTGGGTTTGGAAGCTTGGCTAAGAGTGGATGTCATGGTGCATGGCAACTTTAAAGAGCATGTCTTTCCCCACCTCTAATGCATAACTAAATGCTAGTTTGCAAGTTTCATGTTGGCATTTGAGGACTTTGCATTGCACTTCGAGCTTGAGTCCTTGGATGAATACTGACACCATGGGTTTCTCATTTATTATGAGCGTCTATAGCAAACATGCACACCAATGCATTTTAAATTGGATAGTATAGTTATTGATACTCATTTGCAGCATTTGCCAGAATTAAAATAGTTCATGTAGAGTTGTTGGTTAGTTTTCTCCATTCCAAATTACTTGAGGAACTTGTTAATCATTGTAGACAATAACCATCATTCATTTGGAAGCAAAAAAGATGCCCAATATTTTGCTCTTGCTTTCAAGGATCTCTGATCTTGTTATATCTTAAGTAAGTTTGAAATTGATTAATGTGATTATGAGCTAAAATACTTGATCTAAAATAGAACTTTGGGAGGTCCATTGCCTTATAAAGGATATGAATAGTGGCCACAATTGATTATGCTCCTTTTTGGAATCTATTATAGACGATGAAGATTCATTTACCAACAACGCTATCTAGTAATTAAGTTGGTATATAAGTCATAAGAAGAATTTTCCTCTAAGTTATGTGTGTGTATAAAAGAGTTTATATAGCAACAACTTGACCAATGGGTATGAATAGGCATCAAACTTCTAAAATGTGCCAAATGCCAAAACTAGGTATATGCTATAATGCTGGTTTAGAGCTTGGAGAGCTCAATCACAAGGTTTTATACTTGCTAGACATTCAAGGATTTTAAAATCATCTTTATAACACTTTATAACCTCTTATGCACTCACTATATACTAGATGTTGTTCTCCATTCAAGTAAAAGTTTCTCAATCAATAGAGATGATTAAACACGAGGCATGAAATAGCTATATATACTCTAACCATAAGATGATGCAAAAGATAATTGTACACTACTCTAAAAATTATGAAACTAAACTCCAAAAACATGTATAACAATCTTGTAAAAAAAATAAACCTAAAAATCTCACTCCACTCAAAACACTCACTAAAACTAGCAAACATATATCAAGATCAAAAAATATAAAGATCTTGCAACTGCCAACTCCTAGGACTTGTCAAAAAGCTCTATCCAAGATTTATTTAGCTATGTAAGAAAGATCCATCTACATTATTTAGAATTGTGTGAGAATGCCCTAAACTTTTTTTACATTCTAAATAAAAGAACCCAAGTGAAAAGCTCTATAAATTACTTAATCTTGGACTAAAACTCATATGTAAGGATTTTAGAGAAAGCTTACAAGTAGATTTATCTATCAAGCCAAAGAAAGATTAAAATAGTTGAAGATCTATTGTGTATTAAACTCTTGAAGTGATTGTTGCACATGTCATGAATAAAACTTATTTGCATGTTGTGTTCCGAGAATAGAATTGAGAAATTTGTAATACTAAAATAAAGTGCTTAACAAGATCTACAAACTTATGAGCTCCATTGCCTAAATCAATAAATAACCAAGGCATAAAGAGGAGAAAACAACTATTCTTAGTTTAAAAAGGAAGAAAATTCAAGAAATCCTTAAAATTTAAGCATAGCTAGAATTTTTCCAGTTGGGCACATTTATTCTTACCCTATCACCATAATGCAAATCTCTTGAGAATTTGTCTTAAAACCCAAAAAAACGAGCTTAAAAACCAAAGAATAAAGGGGAGGATTGACACCTTAGTAGAGTCACTAAATGTTAAGAGGGGAGCCTCTCAATAGTAAGGGTCTTCTATGCTTTGGAACTCAAATTAAATTATATCTCTTCTATAAACTTAGCAATGGGAATATTTTAAGGAATCTTATTTAAAGGTTATATATATCTTAACTAGTAGGGATCTAGCTCCATTGGGAGTAGTAGAAAATATTTTCAATTTGAAAAGATGTAGTTATAATTGTAATTGTTCAAACTATTTCTTTTTCTTGCTTTCTTTTAGCATGTTTATTTTTATAGGTTGCTACCAAGACTTGCAGCTTTGATTCCAATCTATGTATTCTACATCTTTACCAGGTTTGCAAGTCCTTCATGCCTTTTTAGTCATTTCTTTATGGCACTAACTAGGTTTTCTCACAACAAGTTTGAGCCACAAAATCACAGATATCATGCAATAATGGCTTTAGTAACAGTTTGGTGACCTTTCTATGGAAATTCATATTCACAGTTAAGTTCTTAAGCACAATTCTCAGGAATGGAGCTTTACCTTAACTTCACAGAAATTGTTCAATGAAAAAGTAACACTACTGAAAAACATTATAAACTAAATGATGAGGAATCGAGTGAGAAAAGAAAAAGTACATATACCTCGAGTAGTCATCAGGGAAAGAGCAATAGGAGTGGCATAAGACTGGATTAGTGTTGTATAGCATTTAAAAGGCTACAAAATAGAGGTGAGACACCAAACACCAAGAAAAAAAAATTGAAAAAATGATCAAAAGAATCATAGAACATAAGTAAGGTAAGCTAGAAACCTTCTTAAAGATCTACCTGTGTATCTTAAAATAATAAGGTCCATCACCAATCATTCCCTCTACATTTAGAAGTCCCAATTGTAGAGCCGATTTCATGTTATAGGTAAGTCGGAATCACAGCAGCAACAATAGCATCACCAGCAAGATGCACTCAAGGCTGCACAAGAATTCTCCACCAGTATTTTGGGAATGGTCACATGTATATAGTGGTGATACTAGCATTGGTGAGTAGGTTGGTGCGAGGGACAAGGACAAAGATCTCACAAGGAATAAGGAAAAGGATCTTGTGGGGTTAGCCACCGCCCATGAGCAGTGGAAGATGTTTTTCAAATACATCATGATGGCTTAATTCTTCACTTATGTTGGAGACATTTGTATGATTCTGGCACTTGCAGGTACCAAAATACTTCTGTGTTTGCAGCATTTACAGATATCCTTTCTTCGTGATTACAGAGTGGGACCTTTATTTTTTTCAAAAAAGTCAATGGATATTTTGGGATATAGGAAATCATCATGCTTTTTATGTTTTGCTATTAGAGCTAAAGTAAGTTCTTTGATTGGGGTGTGTTTTTGTGTCACAGCTTTAAATGGGAGTATATTAATGGCTGTCTGGAAGTCCCAATTGTAGAGCCAATTTCATGTTATAATTTAGTATTTAAAAATCTCTGATACCTCAAACTTAACAGACCTTAGCACCATGTTGAAACTTGACTTATTTCGGTTTACAAAGTTCTTTTAGAAAAAAAAAGAGTGTTTTTATCTATACAAAACTACTGTTTACAGTGTTTAATGTTTGGTTTTTGAGAAGCTTGATCTCTTCTCCTGTTGGTTTTGGTATTTCATAGATATAGCATGTTCACTCTCAAGATGACAAACAAGCTTTGTGATGGCTTTTTATATTTTAGATAGCACATGCCTTGCCTACTCAAGCTCCAACTCATGTTGTTGGTCCCACAACTAAGGCAAGCAATGGCCAATGCATCTCTGGAGCTTCCTTGGGAGCTTGGTTGCAGATCCACTCCACTAGGAGAATCAAATGAGCAGATGCGACTGTGTAGTGTGCAGCGATCTAACAAGGTTTTTGGTTTTTTTTTTCCTCCAAGCTCTAATCAACCGAATCATATTTGCCATTACTGCTCCTCGTTTCTGTGCTCTCTTCCCATAAGGGCCATCTTTGGTGACACGACCTTTACCAGTCCATTTAAAATCCATGATAGTCATAGCCATAAAATTTTGTGTGGCCGTCCCATTTGATTGTGCTTTTTCTTTCTTCCCTTCTCATAATAAATGATCACCACTAAACAACTTGTAAGAATCCAAGATCCATTCTCAAGGTGACAAGAAGTGGATGAATTGGTGTAAAAAAAAAGAGAGGAAAGAGTGTGTTCTAGGAATTAATATGATGGTAAACCTTATTGTTTCAGGTATTTTTTGCAAAAAGAATATAAGGAGTTTAAACTGGATAGAAACGATTTTAGTGATTTAGTGTTTGACATTTTGTTTCAATTGTTTTAGTTTTTTGTTATGGAGAACAAGTGTTTTGAGAAAGAGATACATATTATACAAAATCTAGGTAACATCTGAAAGATGATAGTGGTTGGATTTGTATATTTAGGTTTATAATTTAGGAGATTATTTTATGACTTAGAACATTGTTCCCTAGTAAAGCTTTTTTAAAGAGTCATGTGTTTGTTATTAATTAATAAATTATACTACTTATTGTAGACTATTGTCTATTAGCCTGCCTATTCACTTGCCTAAAAATCTGCTCTTGGCATAGACTACAATGTGTTTCTTTATAAATTTTTTTGAATATGGTTCTGAATATGGTTAACAACTAATTTGGTCTTAAGGGATGACAAAACCAGTGAATAAAAATGAAAGTATACTATATTTACAAACTGATACAATTGTAATAGATGCACATAAAAGAGCAATGCATGTACAAATCTGTTTGAGGTCTCCTGATTTAATGCAGAATAATCATGATGGTCAATGTGAGACACATTAACTAAGAGCTATGGATAGAATGTGTGTATTTTGTAATGTTTTTCTTTTTAAGAGTGAATTGAAGTCTCAATATTGTCATGGTGGTCGCATTTCTTTGACAAACAATTTAGAGTTTCCTGTATTGATAAAAGATTTACTTGAAGGCAAAAATCATCATACAAACTTTTATTAGAAACTACAATAGTGCCCTTGCTTTTGCATCTATCTGTTAATATACTACCATTAAAAGCTGTGACACAAAAACACACCCCAACCAAAGAACTTACTTTAACTCTAATAGCAAAACATAAAATGCATAATGATTTCCTATATCCCAAAATATCCACTGACTTTTCTGAAAAAAATAGAGGTCCCACTCTGTAATCACAAAGAAAGGATGGTTGTAAACGCTACAAACACAAAATTATTTTGGTACCTATAAGTGCCAGAATCATACAAATGTCTCCACCTGTGAGAAAGAAACCTAACATAAGTGAAGAATCTAGCCACCATTGTGTATTTGAAACAAAAGGTTTGTGTACCAAATTGAGGAAAATGGTATTTTCAAGGGGCTCGCTCTCCTTGTTTCATTCCCAACACTGTGCAATGACAACATCAAACCCTTAGATATATGAAACGTTTTAAGAGTGTTATGTTATATCTAAGCCATCCATCTTAAAAATCCAAGAATATCTAACCCCCGATGCCAATAGCACTTTTAAATAAAGAAGTACTAGCAAAAGTCCTAGCTACACTGGGATCATTGTGTTTATTCCTGATGTTTTAGTAATTTCAAAGAGTTGTGATTGTAATTGTAATTTTTAACATAATCATAATAATAACATACATAGTTAAACATAATATAATATTTATAATAAAAATTCCTTCTACAATTGACTCTATCACATAATAAATATAACTCATAACATTATATCATAATTAAAACTCTAATTGTTAAGTGAAGTTTTGGATCTTTTATAAATGGAATTGCTCACTGTGGGATCAATGTAATATTGAATCAGTCAAATACTCTTTGTTTCATAGAATGAAACATTTATAGAACAAGTCATCACATTCCCGACACTAGTGGAAGGATACTGTAATGCTGGACTGGTGGATGACGCCGAGAGGCTTCTGGAAGAGATGGTTGCCAGTGACTGCTCTCCGGACGTGTATACGTACACAAGCCTGGTCAACGGCTTCTGCAAAGTCAAAAGAATGGTGGAGGCGCACAGAGTTCTCAAGCGAATGGCCAAGGGGGGATGCCAGCCCAACGTGGTGACTTACACTGCTCTCATCGACGCGTTCTGCAGAGCTGGGAAGCCGATGGTGGCTTACAAGCTGCTGGAGGAGATGGTTGGCAACGGCGTCCAGCCGAACTTTATCACGTACAGGAGCTTGATCGGTGGCTTCTGTGGGACTGGGGACCTGGAAGAGGCTCACAAGATGCTCAAGAGACTGGAGCGCAACGAGAACTGCAAGGCGGATATGTTCGCATACCGGGTGATGATGGACGGGCTGTGTAGAACCGGGAGAATGAGCGCAGCTCTGGAGCTTCTCGAGGCCATCAAGCAGAGTGGCACGCCTCCTCGCCACGATATCTATGTGGCGTTGATCAGGGGGCTGTGCCAGCGGAAAGAGCTCGGCAAAGCCATGGAAGTTTTGGAAGAGATGACACTCTCAGAGGAAAGGCAGGCCAAATGCCAAGGCTTACGAGGCAGTGATCCAGGAGCTAGCGAGAGAAGGGAGACACGAAAAGGCAAATGCACTCTCAGACGAATTACTTGGTAACAAAGGCCAGTAAAACGAGATTTGTAATCACAAATCCGGAACATTGTGTGAACACTATCTGGGATGTTTCCTAAGGTTTTTCGCAGAAATCAACAACCATTCAACTATTTAGTTTGAATTTACTTCTAGTTTTATTTATAAGGGCTCTTTTTCAGTGTTTGAAATTCACTTAGGAACTCTTCTTTCATGGCTCTTCCATCCATTGCGAGCATTTTCGCAGCAGAGAAAAGCTATTCCATTCCACCAGTGTGTAAACTCCTTGCCTCTCCAGTGTTGAATCCGCTGTACGATGCAAAGGCCGACGCTCAGATCGATGCGTGGTGCGCGGAGTTTCTGAAGTTGCAACCTGGAAGCGAGAAAGCTGTGTTTGTTCAAGAAAGCAGGCTTGGATTGCTCGCGGCTTATGTTTACCCCAGCATTCCATACGAGAAGATTGTTCCGGTTGCAAAGTTCTTCGCTTGGTTCTTTCTTGCAGATGACATTCTGGATAGCCCGGAGATCTCCTCGTCAGACATAAGATATGTGGCAACCGCATACAAGATGGTTTTCAAGGGAAGATTTGACGAGGCCACGCTTCCAGTGAAAAATCCGGAGCTGCTGAGGCAAATGAAGATGTTATCTGAGGTTTTGGAAGAACTGTCCCTCCATATAGTGGATGAATCAGGCCGATTCGTGGATGCTATGACCAAGGTGCTCGACATGTTTGAGATTGAATCGAGCTGGCTTCGCAAGCAAATCATTCCCAACCTGGATACGTACCTCTGGCTGAGAGAGATCACATCTGGTGTGGCTCCTTGCTTTGCTCTGATTGATGGTTTACTGCAACTTAGGCTGGAGGAGCGTGGCGTGCTGGATCATCCTCTCATACGCAAGGTTGAGGAGATTGGGACGCACCACATTGCGCTCCACAATGACTTGATCTCTCTCAGGAAGGAGTGGGCGAGTGGAAACTACCTCAACGCCGTGCCCATTCTTGCCAGCAATTGTAAGTGTGGCTTGAACGAGGCAATCGGCAAGGTTGCGAGCATGGTGGAGGATTTGGAGAAGGATTTCGCCCAGACAAAGCATGAGATCATTTCAAGTGGGCTTGCCATGAAGCAAGGAGTCATGGACTATGTGAACGGCATAGAGGTGTGGATGGCCGGAAACGTAGAATGGGGATGGACGAGCGCTAGATACCATGGAATTGGGTGGATCCCTCCTGCAGAAAAATCAGGGACCTTCCAACTCTAGATTGTTGCTCAGTTCTATCAAATAAGCAAATTGAAAAGCACCGTAGATGTGGTATCAACATCAAACACGCAGCTCAGATCTTCTATGGTATGGGCAAGAGGGACAAGTTCACCTGGGATCTTTTGCTGGTTGCCTGCTGCAAAAACGGGCACTTTGATGAAGCGCACTGTGATGGGCATCTTGATTCTGCCAAGGTAGTTGTTAGCAAAATGCCTGCTTGCAACTTGGTCTCGTGGACGACGATGCTGGGGGCTTTATCTCAGCTCGCGGATGTAGAAAGCACTTTTGAAGAGATGATTACGTATGGAAGAGAATCAAAGAGGCAGCTGGCTTCCTCAAGGCGTTGGCTTTGGGTGTAGGCGACGAGCAGCGTTGTGACGGAGACAAGATCGTGATGCGGCATCTGATCCTGAAAGAAGCGCTCCGACTCTTTCAGGAGGCCGCAGTGGACGTAGCCGGAAAGGATTGCCGTGCAAGTCGAGAGATTCCTCACAAGCTGGAAGAGCTCCAGAGAAGACTCCAGATGCCAGTGACGGGAGACACGATGTCGTCTCGTGCACTTGCGCAATTGCAGCATTGCTGTGTGTTGGAACGCCATAGCCACGGGATTAACCCAGTGC